AGCTGACTCGGAAGAGACCACATAATATGGTAAAGCTGCCGGGCGTTGTTGGCCAAACTGCAAGGACTGCGAAAACAGAATCCAACTTCTGGAATCCCTTTTTCAATAAAAAGTGATTGTTGAGTACACGAATAAATACATAGAAATTGTAAAACCGAAATTCATCAGATGGTTCAATTTTTTTATCAATGATTTAGTACATATATCACTGTGATACAGCGCGACTAATGATGTTATAAAAACTCGCGCGCCTAATGTAGGGTTAAATGGAGTTGTAGAAAAAATATTGTTTGCGCCTCGTTAAAAAAATCAGATCTCGATCACCAAAGTAGCATTTCGCGCACTAGATACAAAAATAACTATTATCGCATTTTGACGTTTAAAAATAACATTATTGAACACATAACAATAAAGGTAAGTAGACGTTTATCACCTCAGTGATTTAAAGATTTTTTAACTCACTCTCGGTATTTTAAGCCACTCTGCTCAATTAAAACTTTGACATCTCAGTGATTTAAAATATTTTTAACTCACTCTCGGAATTTTTGCTTGTACTTTATTTTTGGAATTTTCACAAAATGGGATAAAATTTTGTATACATCATGTGAGTTAAAATGTTCATCCATTCGCTAGGGCTCGTGGGTTAAACTTTCTTCTCATGAATAAACATTCATTTAACTCACTTGGTGTATAAATAACTATTAAAATCAGATCAATTATTTTATTCGATGATTTTACCAATTCCCGCATCCACACATAAACGATTTTTAATTTTTTCAACAACAACCATAATGTGACAACACAAGCTTGACAGTTTCCACATTTCACCTCTGCGCATGCTTACTCTAAAAGATTCTCTTTTCGAGGTGGAACTTTTGGAGTGAGCTCCATTTACTCCACTCCATATAGTGGAACGCTAATGGAGTCACCCCTAATACGCCAAAAAGCAATACCTGAACGGCTGGAGTGCGAATGAAGTTACTCGGAGTGAGCAAGCCGAACCCACCTCATATATCAGAAGAAACAAAAACAAACGTCACAACTTCGCCACGATTACGCCGAAAAGTTCAACAAAACCCAACTTTTTGACGTAGTGGCAGCGTAATGTCAAAAATTCAAAATGGCTGCACTGTCGCCAATGAAATCGTACAAATTAAATCACGTGATTAGTTACGCTTACGTCAATTACGCCCGTGGGGTCTCGCCCTTAGTGTTTACGCTAAACTCTGTCTAACCAAAGTTGAACGTTGAGAAGGTAACTTACTCGAATATATCACAGACGTTGCTTTTTGCTGCTATCTTTATTGCACGCACACTGTGTTTATCAAACCAAAATAGGTCCGAACGTGTGAATCCTATGGTGATCTTGTGATTTTCAACTTTACGAATTTTTACGTGTTAACTAAAATCTTTGAGAATCGCATACGATTCTGTTCGTTTGTTCCTGAAATATAGTCTTATTAAATATTTTTTAGTGGTTTCCTAGTAGTTTGAAATCGTTTAAATGATTTTATTTAACCCAATGAAAAAGAACAATCACTTATGCAAGGCCATACCAAATAATTGACCTACGGGCCAGAGAAAGGTTAAAGCGTCACTGTGCCCGCGGAAAAGTCTGCACCATATGGGAATTTTTTTTATGCTCATCCCTACTTCAAATCGGTTTTCGGCGTTAGGTTCTGCATGACTGAAAACCAAAAAAATACCTGAAATTTTTGACTCGAGCAGTCTTGCCTCAAATGCCATTTGAAAATTTCAAACAAGGAAAAGTGACATTTTTATAAAAAATATGAAAAGATTTTATAAGAGAATATTGTTCCAAATGACATTTAGGAGTAGTTTATAAACAAACAATTTGAAATTTCAATTTGAGAAATCTAAAATTTTCAAAATAGTCCAGAGGCGTATCAAAATTTTAATAGAAATATTTCTTTTTGATGTTTAAACTCTTAATTAGATTATCAAAATTTAAAAAACCATTAGTCAGATACAAACTAATTATTTTAGAGGAATGGTCGCGAAAGAAATCCTAAAAATATTATTTTTCCGTAGATATTCGAAGAAAATTAAAAAAAAAAATCTTTTTTTTTCAAAGTAAAAATATCAAATTAGACTAAAAATGTCATTTGGAACAATATTTTCTTATAAATCTTTTTGATATTTTTTATAAAAATGCCACTTTTCCTTGTTTGAAATTTTCAAATGGCATTTGACAGGTGTGAGGTAAGTCTCGAGACAAAAATTTTAGGTGTTTTTTTGGTTTTCAGTCATGCAGAACCTAATACCGAAAACTGATTTGAAGTAAGGATGAGCATAAAAAAAATATCCCATATTATGGTGCAGACTTTTCCGCGTACCTACATATAATTTCACATAGAAAATGTTTAAATTTTTCACCTATTAGACATATTATCCATACTCACAGGTTAGCCAGACTATTTTTTTTTTACTTAACTCTCAAGTATACCTCTTACTACTGGAACTATTTTCATCACTGGAAAAATAGGGCAGCGGTTTTGCAAACCCTCTAAATATAATGTGAATTTCACTCCTCCTAAATATACAGGGTGAATCTGAAAGTTGTTTTTTTTTTAACAGGGTATATATCTCGCCAAAATAAGTTGTTTGGCAAAAAATTGTTTATATAAAAAATTTAAGATAACGGAGGTACAGGTATTTTAGGGTTATGTGCATTAAAAATCTAATTATTAGGGAATCCAAACCACGTGACTTTTGCCAACCAGCCGGCATTTTGAAATTTTTATGAGGATAGAATACGAGTTGTTACATGTCAAAGATGTCAGAAAATTGTCAGATTGATTAAGCCTAGTACTCATAACCGCGAAATTCGCTCTTTTTTGACATTGCTTCGACAATTTGACGTTTGATTCACGCATAAAACGTCAAATTGTCGTAGCAGTGTTAAAAAAGAGCGAATTTCGCTGTTATGAGTACTAGGCTTAATCCTCCCAAAAAAAAAACATATTATGTTTTTTGTTTATTGTTTGCCAACCAGACGCCATTTGGACAGGTCGTTGAATTGCCTAATTGATAGGTTGGAAATGAAATTTTTTCTGATGGAATAATGCAACTGTAAGTACCTATTATGGAATAAGACTGATTATGCTGGACTAATAATGGCTTTTTTGCGGCTTTTTTTGAGAAAATGTAAACAAAGTGATTTATAGTGGAAGTCTCCTCTAACCTCAAAATAGCTGTACCTCCGTTATCTTATAGTTATTTATGTATCAAGGGAATTATGCAGGTGTTAATACCCCAGGGCAACGTTTGTGTCCCGAGGGCCTCCGGCCCGAGGGACACCAATTGCCCGTGGGTATTAACTCCTGATAATTCCCGTGGTACATAGATAATTTTATATCCTACTGAATTTACTGTATTCTGTCTATTTTTATAAAGGAATAAGCCATAAATCAAAATTTCTATTTTTTGTCAAAGTGTTACCTATTCAAGGTAAAAGCGGGAGTTATGGAAATCCTTAACTCCCTTGGGAGTTATGATATCCTTAACTCCCTTCCTTAACTCCCTTGGGAGTTATGAAAATCCTTAACTCCCTTGGGAGTTAAGACCCTGTTTATGATTATCGTAACCAAGGTATTATATGGTTTTAATAGTTCAGTAGGATATAAATTTTTTTATATCCGTAGGTTATAAATAGTAGGATATAAAATTATCTATGTACCACGGGAATTATCAGGAGTTAATACCCACGGGCAATTGGTGTCCCTCGGGCCGGAGGCCCTCGGGACACAAACGTTGCCCTGGGGTATTAACACCTGCATAATTCCCTTGATACATAAATAACTATTATATAAACAATTTTCTGTCAAACAACTTATTTTGGTGAGATATACATCCTGTTAAAAAAAAAAGCCTCACTTTCGGATTTACCCTGTATATGAATTTTGCTTAGAGTTACTAACCCTATACTTTCTATTCACGTTTGCTGTCTGACTGGGAAAATAAGCAAGTACCGCCGAAAATCGTCACTGTCTCCTAGACTAAAGACATTTTTTAATAGCCAGATAGGTTGACAACAGATGGACACGAAGAAGTCTAGAATGAAGACCAACGTTCTGTTCTCACAGAAATCACGTACCAGAGCGAATTTTATTAGTTGAAAATAGTCAGAATACTTTTTGTTGGCGATTTGCACCAATCAGAAACCCCTGACTGGTTTGTGTTTTCTGTGAGAGCAGAGCTCAAGGAAGACAACAAGAAGCACTGGGAGATCCTAAAAAAGATGTGTGAACGATGGACGACATAAGGACATTGATAGGCAAGCAGTAGATGAGGTTGGCGAAAAACAGAGAAAGATGGAAACAGTTAAGAGAGACTGGATGGATAGTCGATAGAGGTAGACAGAGAAAACGGAAGAAATACTTACCAAAGTATTTGAAATACATTTTTCAATTAAGTTACTAATAGCTCTGCAGTTTTGCTGATTTTCTTTCATACGTTTATAAAACCTTAGGTAGTCATCCTATTATTGGAATGTTCCAATTTCGTTTGGCCTATAGCATTATTTAATGCTCATCTTATACAGTCAATTTTCATTAAACCTATATGTATTGTCGTCAATAAGAAAAAGATCATTGGGGGTTGGGTAATCTTAGGGACAGTTAAAGTTAGGTACCTAATATAAATAACAAAAACTTAGAATGAGAAATGCTGAAAAATTAATAAGTCAATTCACAACAAACTGAATTGGAATTCAGATAATTTTGGTTTAATAAAATTGGATGAGGCTGGTTTCAACGAAGATGGAGAAAGTTGAAAACGTCAGCAAGGTGAATGAAAAAAGCAAAAAAACAAATACCTACCTAATTCAATTGAATGTCATTTGGATTAGTAGTAGGAGTAGGTAGGTACCTTTTTAACATTGAGTGTATTGAAATGTCAATCTCTTGATTTTCACCACTTGATCAAACATATTTACTGGCACATGAAAAACTAGCAGCAGAACAAAAAAAAAAAACAATAAAAAATTCAAAACCATTTAATTTCTTATTTGGAAACCAAAAATCCTTATTCCTTTTTCCCAATCCTATTCTCTTCGCTCTCTTTCTTCTCTGGCAAAAGTTCACCCTTCTGTAAACTATCATCTACATCTTCAGTGGTATCATCTTGAGTAGTCGAGCACACCATTCTGCAAGTCAATTTTTCACCTTTTTCATTGTAAACTTGATCAAAAAAATTGGGCCTGTGCGGTGGTGGTGGCGGGTATCTTAACTGGTAGCCACCGAAGTTTCTGTAAGTGTTAAACGGTTGTTGGATGGAATTGAAAAGATTAGGTTGGAATTCTGGAGGGTATTGGGCAAATTGAGCACTGGAAATTACCTAAAATATGGTTGCTATTTGCTTAAAATTATTATTGCATAAAATATGCTTACCAAAAATGCTGAAAGCACCACAAACATTAAGCTAAGATGCATTTTCTTCTATACAATATACCCAACTAATACAAGCTAAAAACTGATTTGATTTTATATAAGCACAGAGGATAATAATTATTCTAATGCTTCTTTCCTCTTTTCAACACGAATTGTGTCGTAATGATTTATAAAAAATTATATTTATTTTTTTTTTGTTAATAATACCAGAATTTCCGGTGTAACCAACATTTTTTTTTCCAGTTGTGCTAATTTTGTCGTGTAGCACGATTTTAATGTGAGATGAGAGATAATTGGAGTCTGGGCTATTATTTATGAATTATTGTTCATTGATAAATAATTATTATGATACTGAAATTAAAATAATACAATTATTTTTCTTTTATACAGGGTGTCCCACCGGGAACCAAATCGATCTACAGGGTGAGTCCGAAATAAGTGCACATTTTGTTATGATAAAAAGAGTTGGTAATCACTTTTTGCATAGTATCAGATTAAAATCGACAGGCTTTACATGTGTCAGCAAACGTCTCGTTAAGAAAATACATAGTATTGTTAGTTAGTATATATATAGCATTTTTCTAAAAAATCCGTTTGAGTTCCACTTTTCTGGGACCGGACCTAGAGCGACTCTTATTTTTTTTTAAAGAAAAGAGTGGTATGCCCCCAAGATCTTTGACAAATTAAAAATTATTTTTCGATTTCTTGTTTAATTTTAAACAAAAAGGAAAAAGGTATCCTGAGTTTTTCTTGTTCGATGCTACGTTTACGAGATAAAAAAAAATCAATGTATTGGTTGGAAAATCTCGTTGTTCGATACACTCCACTCTGTTGAAAAAATAGTTCTGGTCCTTGAAAAGTGGAACTATGGATTTCTTAGAAAGATGCTTGAGAACATCATAATTTAAAGGCAAAAAGTCAAAATTTTCCGAAAATTTCACCACTGTATTTTCTTAACGAGACGTTTGCGGACACATGTCATCTGAGAGTATAAGTATTTTTTTATTGCCGCATCCATTTGCTGTAATAGTTGATTCAGGAAACGAAACATTTTTGGGTGGTTTTGCTGTTTCGGTGGGGCGGAACTGTCAACTGGTTATTCGCGAAACAAGTTGCTTTTTGTTCTACACCATTTCCAACAGTATTTCAAAATCGGTCAAATGTATTTCAAAATAATCACTTTTATGTCCGATTGACCCATAAAGTGCTATTTATAGAACAGTTTTGTGTCAATAAAGTAGCACTTTATTGTACTAGTAAAATAAAGTGCTACTTTATTTTACTAGTAAAATAAAGTGCTATTTTATTGCCTACCTGGACTACCTGATAAGGTGAAACAGGTCCTGACAACCTACCAAAGTGAAACAGGTCCTGACAACCTGCCAAGGTGAAACAGGTATATCTACGCGAATTTTACTTTTTTCATTCAATTTTTTTATGTTTTAACAAAAATCAGTCAGAATCATACATAAAATCATGTACACAGTGTGATTTTTTAAGTGTGCAACATATGGGGATTTTTTTTAGTAATAGCACAACCCAAATACAAACAAGGCCAAAAGTTAGTGCATGTCAGATAATCATATTAGGTGCACTTAGAATGGTTGCAAGTCAAACAGCATACAGGGTAGCTCAAACAATATCAAAGCTGGTACTGTAAAGTACCCTTATTTAAGAAAATTCAGCAAAATGTTATAGAGAAAAGTTGTTTGGAATTAAAAGTTATGGCTAAATACCAAAATATAGCCTCCTAAGATTTTTTTTATTTTCTTTCGAAAAAAATCTATAATTTCTATATTTTTTTTATTTTTTATTTCCGCCCTTAAGACTTTCAAAAATTAATTAAAATCAAATCAATTTTACATAACTTTGTTCAAATTCAAGCATATTTGTAAAATTAACTTAGATTTTTAATTTTTTCTGGAATCACAAAATTCATGTTTGTTGCAATGATATTCAACATAACTTTAAAATGTCGCAATATTTTTTTTTAACAAGTTAAAACATTACTAATGATAATAGCCATATTAAAAAAACTCTCCTTAAAGTGCAAAAGTTTTATTTTATTAAGGTAAATATTAGTAGAATTTGGATATTTTTTGAGCCACCCTGTATGCTGTTTGACTTGCAACCATTCTAAGTGCACCTAATATGATTAGCAGACATGCACCAACTTTTCGCCTTGTTTGTATTTTGATTGTGCTATTACTAAAAAAAAATCCCATATGTTGCACACTTAAGTAATGACACTGTATAACGCTTACATAAACAGGCTTAATCTACGTCGGTGTCATTATGACACATTTAGCATTGTCATTTGAATGCCATTAGGTCCTTCATAATAGCACTAGTGCATTTAAGAATTCATAAAAACACCCAAATTATGAAATGAAAAATATACAAAAAGAAAGCTAGTTATCAGAAGAACCTTTTCACTGATGCTGTTTGGATATTTGAAGGAACACCTTCGAACTCAGAATCACCAATATTAACATTATTTTCCACTATAAAACTGAGTTTATGGCACAAAAATTGACTCCAATATTAAAGCTGCCAAAGTCAAAATACTAAAAATCAACAAGCAGGTTCCCGACTAGTACGGGCACCTGCTAAATTTTGAATTTTAATTCGAAAAGTATTTGGTATTTCAAGGCAAATCAAAACTATTTGGACCATCGTAGATTAAATTTTGAATGATACACGTTCGATATGAACTTAATTAATGAAACTTTTGTAACTAAACCACTCGGCTGACGCCTCGTGGTTTAACGTTACACGCGTTTCATTATGGTGTTCATATCGAACTAGTATCATTAATTTTGTAATAACTTAACTTTTGAATAAAAGATTACCGAACGTGTTCAAAGGCTTTATTTAATTTCCGGATTTAAGTACAAGAGTTCCGTTCCATGATAGGTCTTTTCCCTAGCGTGGCCGTAGCAGAAGAGAGCTTTTGTTGCCTTTTCTGCCGTAGTCTACAATCTTTCAAATCTGCGCATGTGCGCTAACAAACCTAATTATGACCTTTATATTACGTGTGAATAGAGACTTTACACATATGCAACACCCCTCCACTTAAGATGTTTATAACTGGACGTTTAAACGGGCATATTTGACTAGCTTGAATAATTTGCTATTGTGCCTTGTTTTTACGCGTTACATCCCTGTGGCTGGTTTGCAATTGTGCAGTCTACATTCTCGTACAAGGAAAAAGATTACAATAATTCAAAACGAAATACAAAGACTGTACCTTCACTTCTGTAAGTCATCTAAACTACCCTATTTGCGGTGCACTACGCGTGTTGACTTTTGAAATTTAATTGATATGTATTCAAAATTAAATTAATTACTTTGCCACACTCGAAATGCACAGCAACAAAAAGACTGTAGCCGCAAAGCTTCCAACACAACTCTTGACCTCAATCTAGCAATATTTATACTTTAAAATTGTACATATATATACAATGAACAAAATAGATAATTTAAAAATTACAAATTTTTTTGCTTACATCAAACAAATGGTCAACCTTTGAACTTCATTAAAAGATATAAAAAATACATTTTCCTTATGAAAATCTGTCAAAAACGTTATACAAACAAAAAATAAAATACAATTTTCACAGTCTGGGAACAAACAATATAAAATGGACAGCTATGCAAACAAATGGTAAGTTTATACAAAAGATTATTGTTTACAATAATTTCTTACATTTACAATCAAAATCAATTAACGTTCAAAATTCGACTCATAAGAAGAAAACCGTGATGGTCGTTTAATTTGTCGCTTTGGCCTTCCCAAGTCTTGTGGTGACGTTTGTGGCGGTGCCACTTGACTTTCTAAGGTCGAATTAAGTCCTGGAGGGCTGCTCCTCCCCTTAGACATTTGCTTGCGTTGGCTGTCAGACGGTGGTTCTGCCGAAGGGCTCATATCGACACTGTGGAAAGAAAAATTTAACGAGTCACTGCTATCAGACAAAATCGGAGAGTTATCTTGTAAATTAATGTTTTCATAGGGCAAAATAGGTGAGTTGGTTGAATAGTTAAAAGAATTATTGGGTGATAGGGTCATTTCACTGGTTCTCGGCCTGCTAAGTAAGAAATCGACTTTGGAGGTGTAGTTAATATGGAAAAAAGTGTCGGATCAACAATGTGAGGATATTAAGTAAATCTTTGGAATGTTTTTTATCAAAAATTAGTCGTCTAAACCATGCTTTAGATACAAAAAGCGAAAAAAAAAAGAAAAATTGAAAAAACGTAATTTTTTTGGTTCTCGGCCACTCGCCGCAGATCTCGGCCAATTTTATATCAGTTCTCGGCCATACAAATTTCAGGTACCTATTCGAAAAAGACGTCTGATGTCATCCAGCCTTTCTCGGATTTGCCTAGAACCCATCCACACAACTGCACGAGCTTTATTGATGCCTTCTGCTTCTCTCAACGAGATTTCTGGGTTTCTTCTCATGAAGTTAGAGTAGGTACCAAGTTTGCTTCGGCATTCCTCCTTTAAATAAGTTCAGGCCAGATTCTACATTAATTTTCGATACAGTCTCCAACAACATGTTCTTTTTAAAGGGAAATCCACATTTGGAAAGCTTAATCACCCATTCTTTAATAATTTTTTTGCCTTCTTCAGTTAATAGAGGCTGTGGTCCTGGTTTCCTCAGCTCATCAGGAACTCGACCAATGAGCTGGTCTTGTCGTTCTCGGGACTTTATACCTTCTACTGGCTTCACGAACTGAGATATTGTTGATTCGGACTTCATGTAAATCTTTTTTTAAATCCATTTCAGAATATTGAAACATGGTTCGTTTAGCTACTGCTTTTGCCTTGGGTTTGACAGTTGTTTTTTCTTGGAACTTACACTTTTTTTTTGTGGGAGCCACTAAAAAAGACAGAAACAAAAACTTTTCTTTTAGCAAAATTGTTTAGGTCTCTGAGTTATCTTAAATGATGGGTACTTTAACTTTAGTAAGGTAGGTGGTATAGGTACCTACTCCATTGAACATGCAATCAGGAACTTTATAATGGCCGACAATTGAAACACACAAAATATATGGATCCATGGGTTCTCGGCCACTGAACTCTAGTAGTGGCCGAGATAAGGTAGTTCTCGGCCCCTGAATATTTATGA